TTTCTTGAAATGACAGAATATGATTAATAAATACAGTTTTTTACAGACTAGTACATCCAAACAACTGAATCAATCAGCTACTAAACCGAAACTGGGTAGAGGACTACCTTGACGGAGTACACTGCTCTCCGGCATCCTAGAGCCGCAAACCCAAACTAAACACATAAATAAAACTCCCACCAGTGGAAAATGAAAACTTCCACATAAGAGACTAACACACTCCAACAAAAGAGAATAACACGCCCACATGCACATACACAACAAAACAAAACAACACACCTAAACAATCAATAGAATACTACCTCCCCTACATTTCGGGGGCACACCACTACAATCACACTGACCAGTAGGGGTGAATATCGGTGCAGTTTGGTCAAAAACCGCACCGTACCGAAAAAAATCAAAAATTGAATTTTTAAATTTTTTTCACCGAACCGCACCGCTATAGAAGGAAAAACCGAACCACATCGAACTAAAAATTTTGGTTCGGTGCGGTTCGGTTTTTTGATTAACCGAAATTAAAAAATATAACCACCAATTAATGTTATGTAAGTAAAATTATAAAAATTAAGGTGATATTTTATTAAAAAAAATAAAAAAGTGACATTTTATGACATTTGGTGCGGTTCGGTTAAAACCGCACCCTTCGGATAGAAAAACGAACCGCACCGAACCGTACCGAATAGCTCGGTTCGGTGCGATCTTTTGATTTCTGCTCGGTTTTGCTCATCCCTACTGACCAGTGCACGAGCCAATTCCCGCAACGCACCAAACTCCACAATCAATAACAAAAGAGAACTGCAGATGAAAGCCCCAAAACTAAAAACTCCAACTTATTTAAGTGGCTAGTCAGATCTGGCGAGGTGACAAGTCTCAGCTCAGATATGAGCTTCCGTAGCCTTCAATCGTGAGGTAAACGGACGCCTTGGGAGTTGATCCGACAACCCTCGTCGGAGGAGCCATCACCTTCACCAAATGGGGGTTCAGTCGAACCCAAATCTGACGAGCGGAAGGCAAGACGGACACCATCGGCTCGGCCCGAGGCTGGATGCCGACAGATGCGCGACGGTTGCCAAGCGAGTAATTAATAGGACTGGTCAACATATAATTTGTCCAATCAATGTGTTAGCAAAAAGTCACACATGTATCCAAACAATGGGTAAGGCTACAGTTCCGTTACAGGACCATTCCGTTGGAATTCGTAACCGTTAGATGCACATCTATGTTAGTTATAATGTGCTTCTAACGGTTACAAATCTCAACGAAATGGTTCCGTAACAGGATTGTAGCATTTTCTCAAACAACATTTCACTTATAGTCACCATTGAAATTTTTTCCAAACAGATAATAAAA